GCCCTAGACTTAAAGAGAAATTGTCCCAACCAAATTCAACACAATCTGAAATAACCTTATAACAGGCAAATATAACTGTTACGGGCATTGATCAGGTTAGTCATGTATTTTACCTTGATACTTGCGCAACTGCTCACATGTGTCCTTACCCAGAACGATTCGAACAACTCGTGCCTTGCTCCAGTTATGTGATGTCAAGTTCAAATGAGAGAATGTCAATCGAAGGGAAAGGAAGTGTGTTGTTACACTGTGAGATATCAGATGGAACATTGTCAACTTTCAAGGTTAATGATGTACTATATGTGCCAAATTTATCTTTACCGCTATTTTCTTGGAAGAAAGCTAGATCCAAGGGATACTTACTCCATGACGATGGCAAAGTGATGATTATATATAAAAATAATAAAATCTGGTTGGAAGCTCATTACAACGGTGCCTTGCTAGTGATCAGGGAAGTCGCACGTAAAAATGAAGTAGCTTGCTCCACCTATGAATTCTGGCATAAAGCCCTCAGTCATGCATCTCCTTCGACAATAACCAAGACAGAGAAGCTCATCCAGAACTCAGGTGTAATTCCAAATTGCCCAAAGAACTTTCACTGTGATTCCTGCATGTCATCTAATCCGTGCATAGCAAACCAGCCTCACCAGCTGCACAATCAACATCAAAAGGTGAATACATTCACTCAGATCTTACCGGACTGTTTTCTGTTCTGTCGTATGGCAATGCACTATACTACATAAGTTTTGTTGATGACGCGACACGCTGTACCACGATTCAATTCCTTAAACAAAAATCTGAGGCGGCTCAGGCTATTATCAATTTTGTTAAGGCATTAGAAACGCAATACAATTGTCAAGTTAAATCACTCAGAACAGACAACGGCGGTGAGTATGTCAATGCAACGCTCTCCGATTTTCTGGTTCAGAAGGGGATAAGTCATCATCTGATGCCTCCCTATTCTCCCGAATCAAACGGAGTAGCCGAAAGGCTAAATCGATCTGTTATCAAAGGAGTTCGTGCAATTCTTGCATCAATTAAAGATAAGCGGTTATGGGCTGAAGCAGCAAAATCCTTCATCTACACTAAAAATTGTCAGGCACATAGTACTGTTAATGGACAGACGCCATATGAAGCTTTCCATGCAAGAAAACCATCCATTCTACACCTTCATCCATTTGTTCAAAAATGTTATGTGCATATTCCCATGGCCAAGCGACCATTAGGATGCAAACTTCTACCAAATGCTGATAAAGGTATATTTGTTGGATACACCAAAACTGATCATCAATATCGAATTCTTCTTCCTGCAAGGAAACAGATAGTTATATTGGCTAATGTAAAGTTTATCCCCTATGAGGGTGATCAACCTGTCGCTGATCTAACATCAACCTTGACTCCACACAAGATTCATCAACAAACTCCAATAACGTCAACAAAATTGTTAATCAATTGGAAAAATTCCTCTAATGTTGGTGAAGGACAAAACATTCAAGATCTCTCTCATAATCAAGATCCTAGTTATCTGTCTCAGTCAGAACCATTGCAAGAGTCATCAGTACCAACTTATATTCAACTCGAACCTCAACCATCTGCCTCAACTTCTGCTTCAACATCTTCTCAAAATCTTTACGATCAATATCATAATAACAATGTCAATTCCAGACCTAAACGCACTAAACGTCCTCGAACTTATGAAGATACAATAACGGGGGAGTGGTGGAAAACTTCTCGTGATCTTCATCAACCAGCATTGCAAAGTTTGAATGGTAACAATAGTGGTGATGAGGGACAAGAATTAGCACTTTTAAATGTTATTGATGTATCAGAACCCAAAACGTACAATGGTGCTAAGGCATCAGCAAACTGGGAAGACTGGAAAATAGCATTTGAAGAAGAGATGTCATCCCTCAAAGAAAATGATGTCTGGGACGTTGTTCCTCGTCCTGCAGGTTGCAAAGTTGTTGGTGGCAAATGGGTATGCAAAATTAAAAAAGATGCATATGGGGAAATCGAAAGATATAAAGCACGTTACGTCGCAAAAGGATTCTCACAGATCCAAGGACTAGATTACAATGAAACAATTGCTCCAGTTGTGCAATTTGATTCTTTAAGAATACTCTTAGCAATTTCTGCCTCGAAAAATTCGAGACCAAGACAACTTGACATAAAAACCGCATTTTTATTTGGGATCTTGAATGAAGAAATCTATATGGAACTTCCTGAAGGGTACAGGCAAGAGGGCCATGTTTCAAAATTTAATATGTGTATATACAGATTGAAGCAATCACGGCGGCAATGGTTTTTCAGGTTGGCTGAATTTATCATTCCCCTCGGGTTTTCTTTGTCACCCTTTGATCCCAGTGCCTTTATCCACAACACAGGAGAATTATACTTAGCGGTATATGTTGATGATATTGTACTATTTGGAGAACAAGATTCGCTATTGAGTGAAACTGTTAACCTGCTTAAAGCCGAATTCAAGGTCAAAGATATGGGAACACTTCACTGGCTACTTGGAATTCAAATTGAGTACTGTAATGCAGGAATCAGCTTGTCGCAAACCGCATACATAGAAAGAGTCCTGAATCGATTTTCTATGCAAGACTGCAATTCAGTCTCCACGCCTATTGAGTGTAACTGTTTTAAAGGTAAGAGCTTACGGAGGTTAATTGGCAGAAGGTTTACGGATGATTATCGATGGATCAATGTGAACTGCTGATATGTTTGATATTCAGAACTATGAGGATTTAGGAGGTAGAAAACGCTAATTATATACACATCTGAGGTAGCTAGACTCTCGCCTTATTTACCCAAAATAGTACCATGGAATATTCTAGTCTCCTCCATCTGGTGGTACAATCTAGAAACACATTCTATACAGTGCTCTATTGTTCCTCTACTCATCATGGAGCCACCTGGAAAGTTCTTTCTTCACCCTCAGTGATCATTGCCCTTGTGCATCGCAATCCTAGCTATCACCAGTACAACAGTAACCAACGACTGATGGCAGCGATAAATGGAGAACCTAGGGCTAACGCAACGCTGTATCAGCAAATAGTCGGATCTATAATGTATGTCGTGTCTGCAACAAGGCCTGACCTTGCATATGCAATCTCACATCTCTCACAACTCAGTTCGGATCCATCAATCATTCATCTAAGTGCGGTCAAGCGGGTCTTGCGATACATCAAAGGAACAAGAGATTTAAAACTTACATATGAGTTCAAATCTCTCTTGATACTCAACAGATACTGTGATGCATTGTACGGAAATTGTCTAGATACTCGAAGGAGCTCTTCGAGTTATTTATTCCAACTAGGAGGATCCACAGTCGCCTGGAAGTCTCGCAAACAACGTACCGTGTCTCACTCCACTTGTGAAGCTAAGTATATGGAACTATCACTTTCAGCTAGACAATTCCTTTGGATGACACGTGGGCTTCATCAACTAGTGAACAAAAATATACCCTTGTCCCTTTCAACAGACAATAATTCCGCTATTGATCTTGCTCACAATCATAAAATTAATGACGCTACAAAGCACATTGATATTGCTTACCATTTCACTAGAGAAAGAATTGATGATGGTTCACTAACTTTACTAAACATTCCTTCAAGTGAAAATCAGGCAGATATTTGTACAAAAGGCCTACCAAGACCGAGACTTAACCACTTATGCACAAAATATTTTGGTACAAAGTGAGAAGGGGTGTTGAAATTGGTGCTTCCAATTATGGTAAAGACAGGGATGTGTAGAAGACACGTCACTAATTCCCATTAACTGTGAGGTTAGTATTAATGCGCTTTGATGTAAATACCAACCGCTAGATTTTATTATTACAAAATATAGATTATATAGCACTCTGTGTCCTAGTGGGAGTAACTAACAACTCTCCATGATAGATTTATAGAGTCCTTTACTTTCCCACTCGCTTGAGCAAGTGATATAATCTGTGCCTAACAGCCACAAGCTTTTGCAAACCAATCCGTTCAACAGATCTGAATGTAAATACTCGCCTTTGAATTTTGCTCTAAAAATTGATAGAGAAGGCTTTTGATGGACTGATTTGGAAGACATACACGTGTCACAGTAAAAGTTATTTGGTGTATTTGGGTTGATACCTGAGTTCTGTATGAGCTTATCTGTCTTTGAAATCGTAGAAGGCGCTGAATGATAAAGGGCTTCATGCCAAAATTGAAAGGTAGGACATGCGGTTTCATTATTTTAGGTCCTTCCCCTGATCACAGGTAACAGACTGTTGCAATATGATTCTAACCAAGCTCTAAAATTTTTATAGATCCTTATAGTTATACCATTGTCTTGGAGCATGTATCCTTTATGTTAGTACAGCGGGGTTCACTTATTTTAATGTCTCAAAAGTGCTGTAAACAAGTGGTATCATTCTATCTGTTCTCTCCTCTTCTGTTTCCTCGAGCACTAGTATCTAAATTTCAAATCGGAGCCTGGCGGCCGAGCCAAGTCACGTGATGTATTGACTGATAATCATTGAAGTACATATCCCAGGCAAGCCTTTTGTCCCTAAGTCATTCACCTATGAACTGACAGTGGCAAAATTTTTTGATTAATATTTCCTATTAGGATTGAAGTTACCATAATTTTTGAAAAAACAAAAATCTCCAATCATTAAAATAATGTGAAATCTGTTTGAAGCCCACTTGCTACTTAGTTGAGATCGGAACAATCCATATCCAGTAGATGTTCAGTCGGTTAATCTTGTGGAAAAATCCTGCTGAACCCAGCCCTGAACATTCACGTCGAGTTTATTGGTAGAGACGAGCTTTTATAGGGCGTTATTGGCACTTGACTTTGTCATATAATCGGCAGGATTGCTATCTACTGTAATCCACTGAATCTCTAAGAGTTCTCGTCGTTTATAGGATTGTCAAATAGCCATGATGTCAATCATGAGCCTCTTCTCCTTGGTAGTGCCCAGTTATACCTAGCATTCATATTGTCATAATTTACTCCAGACTGACATGATCCCGTGTAAATTGAGTCATAATACCAGCCGTGCTACGTCATATTTTATCATTTCCGTTCACAGCAGCTTCCTAATCAAGCTAAGGCCGACTACCTTACTGATAGCAGTTGCTAGTGCTTCCCTCATTGTGTTGCAATAATCTCTTAGCTTAGAAGTAACGAGTTTGGTCATGTCATGGTTAACCACAAACAATCCTTCTTGTAGTAGTAATTTCTTACATATGGGTCATGGAGTTAAGGTAGTTAGGGAAGTAGGAGTGGAATGGTACATGCAAATACGAGTAGGAATATTAGAGCAGAAAGATGTATTTAAGGAACTTGGGGGACATTGGTGTTCAGTAGCTTCTTGTCTTATTCATGTTATATAGATACATTGAACCACATCTTGAACTATACCTTGAATCACGCTCACACATATAATGAAAAAGAATCTGTGCAAACAACAACTGGGATTGGGTTAATATTCAACTGTTTAGTAATCACAGCCAGAGTGGCTTAGATAGAAATTGCCATATCAAGTCCTGCTACCATCCCATACAGCTCCGAAGCCAATACAGCACGTGTAACCCTCTTGCATTTAATGGAGCTCCAATGAAGAATATTGCCTTTCAGTCTAAATTCACCATCCCTTGGAGCTTCATTTCCAAGAACAATTTCATACCAAATTTGGGAGCTCAAGTCATGGTTGTTAGCAAAGGAGCCGTCCAAAAAAACAAATAGCTTGGCAGACTCCAAAGTCAACGGTACGTAGTGGAGTCTTCTGTTCAAATTCTTCATCTGACATTCCAGACGTTTATTGAGAGCCTTAGCTTCTTCTTTGCCAGGATTTTGATACTGTGCAGCCACTGAACAATCGAAGGCAGCTTCTGGTTGGGAAATACTGGCAATGTAAGCACCTCGAGCTCTCTGTTTAAGGTAGATCTGCTTGAAGTCATTGAAGTCAGGGTTGATTTGGTTTAGGCGTTTGCCTTGTCCATTCTAGATAAGGCTGAGGTAATCTCCATCTTTATCAATAATCAATTTACAGCCATTAAATAACAGTGGATTATTGTGCGTTAGCTTTTTGATAGGCTTGGCATTCAAGTTGGCTTTCTTAAGCTCCAGGCCCTCTTTCTTCACGAATTTTTTATCCCCATAAATGAGGGTGTCATCTCTTTGCATACCCACAATTCCGAACGGCGTATTCTGATCTTTAGTAATTAAAAGACATGGATCATAGGTCGAGTTTTCCATTTCTAGCTTTGTCTCATGATGACCATGATAGGTGCTATACCAATTGGTTTCTGATTCTGCAATTCCATATAGAGGCTTGAGTATTTTGAGAATGTCTCGCGGAAGGAATTCATTGCACATTTCTTTTGGTGGAGTGGCATAGATAGGACGTGTAAGCCGTGTGTTAGATTTTACGTAAGCTTGAGTGATGTTTCTGAGAAAAATTGAAATGCCACATGGTAAGAGTGAAGGGGCTATTGCCTCAATGATATGCTGGCTGACCTGTTGGATAGTTGGTGATTGTGTCAAAATTTCCTTCTTACCGTGATCATTGTACGCTTGAATTACCCGACGTGACTACTTGTATGGCACTGCAGTTTCTTTTCCATTCACTTCATCTACCATCCTGGAACCAAAAATCCGTCTGTGACAAAGCTCCTCATCATCTCGGCAAACAAGATCATAAATCCCTTGGGACAGCAATCCATCCATTTATTTTCTACGGGAGAGGATAAATGGTTTTCTGGGAGTGGTGATTATTTCTTATCTTCGGAGTTCCAACGAGATCTCACAATCCCTTTTTTCCTTTTCAGATAGAAACACTTCGACTTGGACACACTTCATATCTTCTGTTACATGGTTGAATGAAGAAACGAAAAAATTTCATTTGTAGAAGCTGATATTGTAGGTGCATATTCGGTATATTGGGGTTGCGGTTTTCTTTGACTACGCCGAAGTTGCTGTGGAGCTGGCTCAGGAACGTGATTATTGGGCAGATTTTATCTGGAGTCATTGTGGTAAAGAGTTCCTGAATGTTCTAGGTCGTCATTTCGCTCTTCATTCTTATTATGAGGCTGTACAACTGTACTCAGGAAGTTAACAGCACGACCATCAATATTAACTTGGCAGGTTTGACCATCCATCCCCACAAGATTGAAGGTGCCTTGTCATCCTCGGCTCTCTCTATAAACAACGACTTCAGAGTTGAGGGGGAGTGTCTCGATATGTGCAGTAAGTGGCCCATTCCTAGTACTGAGAGCATCAGCTACCTTGTGCGCCGCCATGCATCTCCTTGCTTCCACCATAGCCTTTTTCACAGTGGCAGCACAAATGAAAGTTGAAGCGGCTGGAGCATCTGATAAAGCCATTCTCGGGTAAGCCCCAAACACAAGAACAGTTTGAACTAGGCCGTTTGGCTCCACAGTGTCATTCAATGCTTTAAGTGCCATTTGCAGCTTCATTTCCTTTGACAACGAGGAATCTTCTTTGCTAATGATCTTGTATACCCGCCTAAGTGGGATTATTACAGTTTGACCGTGGTTTAGCCTAGGTGGAGACCTAAGCAGAGTTTGGGGGCGTATTAGGGAGAGTGCTACATATTATCTTGTATCAAGCGACTAAGTTTCACTTGGCCACATTACATTGGAGCTAGGAAGGAATGTGAGATGGCGAAGTAAAATTGCCAAGTGAGGGAGTCAGCTAGATGGAAAAGATGACGACGGGCAGTGGCGGAGCAATTTGTCATTCTCACCAACAGAGTATGTACTGGATGAGCTAGAAGGATGTACAAATAGTTATTTCCCGTAGTTGTGGTACTTCTCTCTTCATATAGTTTAATCTTTCTAAAAGTACACTACAATCAGCTCGGTTTTGTCACAGGGATGTGGTATCTCTCCACGCCGCCAAGAGATTGGTGTGCTTCCATAGGCTTCATCAAAACCTCAGTTTTAATCAATCTGGCACTGTCACGAAATTCCTTTGCAATATAGCTGGTTCCCAGATCTTGAACCACATAAGCCAGGGGGCCAATATATGTGTCAATCCAAGCTTGCCTAAGGGTATCCCATGTATTTTTGGCTGACATGTTATTAAGAAACTTACCACTTTAGAAGTTGGTTGCTTTGTCAACAATATGAGGAACTGGACCATTATCAAGGGTTAACACATCAACAAAAAGAGTATGATTGAAATCACAGTCATCTTTTAACGTGAACTTAAATCAACCAGGAGATTTGCAATTCATTTGACTCTGCTTGCAGAACTAAGTAAGTTGATTAAGCGCCTCATAATTTGTCCCATCACCAGCTTTTTCAAGAACCTTGTGAAAACGCTGGATTGGTTTATGACCAAATCTACAATGCAAATGACGGAGTTCTACTTCTGTCAAATGACAGGAAACGGTATTTGCGTTCCGAGGGCCAGAATCTACATATGTCAAAGCTTTAACTTCATTTAAAAACATCCACAGGTGACTGTATACTCTAACAATCGGAATACACTTATTTCCTTGGACGAGGACATTCTCAAAGTTATCAAATTTAACACCCAGATTGTCCAATATTTTGAGAGATAATAAAAATGGCGTGTCTACAGAAACAATATGAAAGACTACTTTTATAGTTGGTGTTATCACATCTGCAATTCCCAGGGAATTACTTTTTCCGATCCCAAACTTAACATTAGCCTCTCCAGCTCTTGATCTATCAAGCTCGATATTTAGTGTCTTTTGAAGTGCAGTGAATTGGCCATAGCCAACTGTTGAACGGTTTGCAGCCCCTGTGTCAATCACTATTCCCATGAAGACACCTGAAGGGTATCGGTCAGAGTGAAACAGGTTAACTTCAGTAGGTGATCTTGGTTTGAGTTCTGGGCCAGAATTATAACTGTTGTAGATGAGATGCATGATTGATTGATGTTCTAATTCCTGGATAACTTGATCACTGTCAATATCTTCGAAAGCATCAGTGGTGTAGATTCTCGAAAAATGATCAGAAGGTGGATCAAGATTATTGTTATTCTCAAGCTCAACCTCATTGATAAATTGCTCGTAGTCTTTTGATGCATCAGGGTCTAAGCCTTCAAATTCGATGACATACTGCCGAAATTTATCATTGATCCATTTTTCACCTTTGAACTTTTGAAATGCACGTTTTCTTTCATCATCGGAGTGGTTTGTACTCCAGCATCCATATCTCTTACAAATAAAACACTTTTTCGACAATGAATTTCCACTGGGATCTTTAGACTGCCCGCCATATTGTTTACTTTTACCTTGGTATTTGCAGTCAGTGTAAAATATTTCCGAATTATCAGGATTATTTGACCCAAAAGCAAATGTTCCTTGGGTAACATTCCTAAACTGGATGACAAGGGAGTTGCAAATATCTTCGGAGGCGCCTTGGAGTAGGAGAACGTCGAATTAGAGCCATATTGCACTCGCGCACATCATGATGCGCCCTGTAAATTTTATCTCGAATTATGGCCTCGGATTGTAATTTTGGCTGTAGAATAGCCTGGTCATTGAAAAGCTTTTCACTCATGATATCAAAGCATTCTAGAAGAGATTTTTTGGGATATTTTGCCTTGTAGTCTTCCCATTTGTTTGTTTTTCGCTCTTGCTGTTGCTCTGTTTCAAAATAATCCCTATTTGCTCGGATCATTTCCGCCAAAGTAGCCTGTCTACCAGAGATTTTATTTAAAGTAGTAATCTCTTGCTTTGCCTGTGAGTATGGTGGCAAAAGCTCTGGGATAGTTTGGAGGATTTACATTTCCCCTGTAGCACAAGTCGTAAAAAATGCGCAGCTTTTTGTCAAGGACGTCTTTGGCACCGCTGTACTTATCCTCTATTTGGTAAATTTTGTCCAAGGTTTGGACACTGTATGATGAGCCATGAGACGAGTCACCAGAAGGATAATTCTGCAAACTTGGCATTGATTGTTGTGAATCCGCTTGGACAAGAGTTAACCTAGGGGCAGTTTGTACATCATCTCTTTGGCTCTTAAATTCCTGACCTTCTGATTCTAACTTTAGGTTAGGTTCTGGCTTTGAATTAGAAGAGTTTGTTGTTGGGTTTGGCAGATTAACTTATGCTATTTCTGTCTCTTGTTCTATCTTTCTCAAGTGAGCATAGCTTCCTGGAAGGTCAGGA